TCCCTGCTCCCCCATCCCTGCTCCCCGGTCCCTGCTCCCCTATCTCTGGTCTTTACAGATATGACCAGAGGATGGGTAGGGACCAGCACTATAGGGAGCTCTGACTCTAAGGCCTGTTGGCCTGGATTTGAGTCCTAACACTGACATCTGCTAGAGAGGTGGCCTAAAGGAAATCACTTAAGCCTTGTTTCTTTCTTTTGAAAATAATGAAATAGTACCTATGAGGATGAGTTTGCTTAGAATTTAAGGTCACAAGCTCTGTGATTTCTGTGTGTGTGTGTGCTCGCTGCCCTATGAAAGATGGTTTACTGTTCACTAATTTAGTGTTCTGGGTGAGTTTATGGAATGTAACTAGTGGAAATCACAAAAATTGACTGTATTTTCATTGTGGGCATCCAGAAAAAAACAAAAAAAAACGAAAACATTTATGTGTATGTCTTTCTGAAGCAAATTCATTAACCTTTTATTGGCGTGATAAGTGGTGTGAATTGGAGTTTTTAGCATATCTGTAGCTGAGGAAAGACTTACAAGCTGTAAGAAATTAAAAAGCGTCTTCTCTCCTGGGCATGACAGTGACACCAGCTCGGTGTCAGTTCCTACCGGCAGCACAAACTTACCTACATGTATTTTCCTATTATCTGTTCTTCACAGAGCAAGAGCTGCTACAAGTCCATGTGAACCAGAATTCCACGGGAAACCCAGTTACTTTGCAGGTACTTTTCCAGATTCACTGTCTCCTGTGTTTTAAAAGGGTGAAATGTATCTATGTCCCTCTGGGGGCTCTCCCTGCCCCAGCGCTGTGCTGCATTCCTCCAAACCCAGGCTGGAGGGTGTGGGCATCTGTGCTGAGCACCCCTCCCTAAATCCTCACAGGGAGGAACAACGGAGAAAACATTCCAGTGCTCAGGACACAGGCGGATGCAGGACGCTGGGCCCGGGTTCCAGCCAGGGCCCCATGTCTGTGCCTCAGAAACGGCCCTGACCTCGTTTCTGACCCTGAGGGGGCCGCAGGGTAAGTGGTGCTCTGGCCCAGCTGGGCCTCAAGGAGGAGAAGAGCCACTGGCTGCCGGTCTGCTGGCCTTGACTGTGACAGGTGAGCCTGGCTCTTAGGGGAATATGCAGGTACACATGGAGCACACCCAAACACGCATCCTACCCCGGGAGTTGTCCTTACACGTCTGGGGTGTGCCCGAGGCTGCCAGGACGCTCCAGCTGAAGCCTGGACCCTGGGTTACCACCCTGTCCTCTGCCCTCACCTGCACTCAGAAACCCTCTCCTCTCCCTCCTCCCGCAGGCCCCCACTGCCGGCCCTGACCAGGAGGTCTCCTCTTGGAGGACCGTCCTGGCTGCATGGCAGGGCTCCACCTCATCCTCCTGGGCACTGTCTCCCCTGTCACCTCAAGTGTTGTGGGCGCAGCGGCATGCATGCCAGTGACAGGCCAGGCTCATAGAAACTGCCGGAAAGGGCATCTATCTGCCTCTGTGTCTGGGGTGGGGGTGTCTGACCCTTGACACCCAGTATAGGCCTCATGGAGATACATCCCCGCATGTGCCACTCCCTGCACCCCCACTGCACCCCTGGACCTGCAGAGCTCTGCATGGGCATCCAGCAGACCATGGGAGGGTCAGTTACAGGAGAGGAGGATGCTGGCCCCCGGGGTCATAGGGCTGCTGGGGTGTTAAAAATGGGGGTGGCAGGAGCGCATAGCCACACTTGCAAGTTCAGCCAGGATCATGCTAATTTAATGCCCTCCCGTAGAGACCCCACCCAAGGGGGTCAGATGACCAGATCCCTGCTCTGTCTGACAGGCTGTCTCCTCTCTGCAGGGACAGGTCAGGAGACGAGCACGGGAGGGTGCCCAGCGGCTCCTCAGGAGCCAGGGGTCGGAGGGAGATACATGCATACAGTTGCTGCTTTGAGGCACCGGGACCCGTGAAGCACCTGAGCTGGATGACAGGGAAACATGGCCAGGATGGGGGTACCAAGCTGAAGCTGGAGCCCAGCAAGAGTGACCCGTTCTCCATGCGTGCTGTGTCCCTTGGTTCCTGCGTGCCCTGCCCAGGCGTTCAGGGCGCTGTCCACACCAGTGGGGTAACTGCTTTCAGGAATTCACCCAGTTGTCACCCAGGAAGCCATTCTCCCAGTGCCTACACCAGCCGCACCAGCCGCACCAGCAGAGCTTTGCGGGACAGCGATCAGGGCCAGGTGCACCCTCCACCCAGCTGCCCCTTCCCCCAAGGGAGCCTGGACAATGGGTTTCCTCAGCCCAGAGGGCAGCGTCTTACAGCAGTGGGCCATTCTATCGAGGACACCAAGTTTCGAGGTGGGCCAATGCCCTCGGGAGCTCCGTGCAACCCCATCTTGTCACTTGATGTGCCCATCAAGATGGAGACTGACTCTGGGTCTGAGGATGCAGCAGATGGCTACTCCATGTCCCCAAGCCAGGTGTGGTTGGGAGCCAGTGGTATGGCCAAGAGACAGCTGGTCACTTTCCCTACCAGGATGCACCTGAAAACAGAGCCGGAAGCCAGGCACCACCTGTATGCTCCGCACCTGGGGCACAGCTTGCTGGAAGCTCACCCGAGTGGCAGGGCTCCGCTCAGACCCGGCAGGGAGCTGGCCCCCTTCCACCCCGCACACTGTGCATGCCTGGAGCATGTGCATGGTCTTCCTGAGCCAGATCGTCCCCACCACTTCTGTGCACAGGGTCACCAGCCCCCTGCACTGGGCTGTGACTGCAGAGCTCCGGGGACTACGCCCATCGTCAAACGAGAGCCCCTGGACTCACCGCTATGGGCCAGTCACAGCCAGGGCGGGGTGCCTGGAATGTTCCCCAAAAGTGCTGTGGCAACTCTGATGCCTCCCAAAGCGCCCGAGTGTGCTTTCCTGCCATAAAGTGGGGTGTTTGTAAAAGCCTCTGTCCACACTCAGACTCACCCCTCAGCTGGGACGGCACATGCAGGATCAGAGCCTTTCTTCTGCACTGCTGCATGAGTTCAATCCCCTGGTAGGAGTGGGCAGCGTGTGCAATGACATATTCTGTATTTTGTGAAGTGTCATGCAAGTTCTTCAATGCAAAGTGGTCTTATGTCTGTTCAAGTATGACAGTATTTCTCTTTGAAGGATTGAAAGTTTTCAGAAAGTGGCCGGAGTGAGACAAGTCAGCCCGGCAGGGCATCCCCCACTCTGAGAGGCAGTGGGCTCCTGGCCGACTGGCAGTCATGCCGTAGTTCCCAGGGGTCCCCACGCCCACTTCCCGGTGGATTGATGCCTCTGTGGAGTGGACTGCAGACAGCAGGCACACCCTGCGTGTAAATTAGGGTTATAATTCTCTTGAGCCACAGTTGCCATGCCCCCATTCATGGAAGGAATCTGGAAGGTTCCAGGCAAAAAAGGCTGTATGTGCTGGGTCCTGCCCTCTCTACTATGTGCAGCATATGCTTCTCAACCCCACGGCAGAGTCTGAGGCCATACCCAGGTGCAAATGGACAGGATAATGTCCCGTTCCTCCCGGAAGTCTGTCTGGCATTTTTAATGGGCCTCTGAAGGTGGTTCATGCTAATCTGTCTCCAGTACATGGTGAACCTCGAGTTTACAGAGTCTGGGTTTGGAAGCAGAGAAAAGGACAAAATGTAGAGAAAAGAGGTAGGAAGTCAAGTTGTCCGTGGGGGCTGTGTATCGGTTTTCAAATGAGAATTCCAATCACCGCCTAAGGAAGAATTATTAGAGACAAGACGGACAGGAAATGTTTTCTAGAAAAACTGTAGAGGTCATACAGTCTGACCATAGAAGACCTGGATGTGAAGGCATAACTCAGAACGTGGAAGTCTCCCACAATCACCGCCAGAGATGGACCCCCTGCCCTGCGCTAGTGCACTTGGTGTGGGGTGTGCTGTCAGGTGTAAAGGCCACCGCCAAGCCCGCCTGTCCCGTGGTGGACCTGCTCCTGCTCCTCACGGACAAGAGCATCTGTCCCTAAAGTCACCTCCACCCGGGAGTCTCAGGAGGTGGCAGGAGCCCCCAGGGAAGGACTTGCTGCTCCACCATTGGTACGTTCTGCTCTCCAGTGTGGGGTCTGTCTCTCCATCATATGTGGCTTTGGGGTGTCAGTCTTCAGCTGAGTTCATGCACATTCACCTTGTCAGAATTTGGGGTTCAGCCGGTAGGACTGGGTCTTCTGGATGCTTGGGCACACGCTGGGGTGCCCCTGCACAGGTTGCCAGCCTGTGGAAAGGTCCCCCTTGCGGGATGGCAGGAGCTGAAGGCCTCCTCCTGGCACTGACCGAGAAGGTCACCCACTGGAGCCCAGGGTTGGGAGCGGTCAATGTGTGGTCCCCTGGGGCCAGCCCAGCAGCCTCTCCCCCACTCACCTCACTGAGGCCTTGCGAAGGGTGACATTGGTGCTGCAGTAACCCCACTTTGCTGCCAGAGTCTCCCCCATCTGTTATGATGGTGGTACAACCACCTGGGACGCCTGCTGGGGCCCTCCGACTAGCCCTGGGCCCTCCTCACATGGTTCTCATGCTGAGCACAGCACCCCTCTGTTGCCTGAGACATGGAGTGGAATCTCAGAATCCTCCTCCTTCCTTCCTGGCCAAACCCGGCACCCAGGTCCCACATGTGACAGTGCACCTCCCTGGGGTCCTCATCCGTGAGGGCACCGACCCTCTCACTTCATCCGTGGAGAAGCCACACACCGGGCCCAGGCTGGCTGCAGGACCATGTCCTGAGATGCACTGGGGCTCCCCCAAGAGTGATGCCTGCCCTTCCCCACCTCAGGGCGCAGCAGACAGGGAGTACTACATGCATGTAATGTGCAACCCGGAAAACACGGGACGGGAAAGGTGGAATTCAGACATCATTGCGTGTTTGCACACTGTAGCCAGGCTGCAGTGTAACCAAAGAAGAGCTCCAGACAAGAGCCTCAGGGAGCAGCCGTTCTGAAGCACACAGTTGTCGCTGCTCACGAGGACCATGGCACCATGCTGCCCCCTCCCCACAGGTGGCCAGATGCGCAGTCGGCAGGTGGACAGGTCCTGCTTTGCTGACAGAGAATTCAACACCTGGAAGTCAGTTCTGTGGGTCTTGTGTTCCGGAGATGCCCATCATCCCCCTGGGCCCCTTGAACACTCCAGGTCAACACCAGCAAAATGTCCTTGAGTCTGTACATGCCCCTCCTAAAAAGGATTGTGTGGGAAGATGATGGAATGTAGAAGGTGCTGATGTAGTCACTTCCGCTTTAAAATGTCATTATCAGTACTAATTATAGGCTTGTATTTTTTTTGTTGTCTCATAGCTTTTGCTTATATAGCTAAAAAATATTAAAATCAAATGTAATGTGGGAATGGTTGGACAGGAGGAGATGAACACAAGTTACATTTTATATTTTTACAGCTTCTACTGGAGGAAAAATGTTTTGGACATCTAGACTGACTTGTTGACTTTTTAAAAATGAATATATTTTAATGAAACTTTTAATACCGTTTTCTCAGTGCCTTTAGAAAGAGCCTTCACATATATTTCTGATACTGTAGTTTGTATTAAATATGCAATATTGATATAAAATAAATCACATCTTAAATCATGTTTACCATAAACAGAAATGTCTATTTGATTTTCCAAATGAAGTAACTGTGTTTCCTTTAGTGTGTGTTTCTAGTCCTTTACTACTGGATAGAAGGCAAGAATAAAAGTGAAAATAAACATGCTGGCACCAAAAGTTGCAAGGAGGAGGCTGAGTGCTTGCCATGGGCTCGCTGGGCGCTTCCTCCTCACCCGCCAGTCCCTCTCCTCCTCATGTTGAGGGTTGGGGGACCTTCCAGGTGCCATTAGGATAGCCCAGACTTGCCCTGTCCTGTAGGGAACGGACACCTGGTCCCCGTGAGTGTGTGCACATGTGTGCGTGTGCAGGTATGTGATTAGGGCGCCCACATGGCCCCGTGAAGGGTGGCAGACTTCTTGCTGTGAGCTCACAGGGAGGAATGGGCAAGGGAGCTCTGTGCAGTCTCTTTGTTTCAGGGCACTGATCCCATTCTCATGGCCTAGCAGGCTAGGGTTCAGCATATGAAATCTGGGGGACATTCAGGCCACAGCAGCAGCCCGCCGGCCCCCACCGGGCCTCACGTCCTCCAACAGCACTGTTGTTGGGCCCCTCTGAGTGCCAGGGCTCTGACAGTGCTGGGGACCCAGCAAGGAAAGAAAGACACAGAGCTCACTGGTGCATATGCACATGGACACAGTGAGCACAGAAACACCTGGCCCTGTAATGCGCAGGAAGGGGACGGCGCCACACTAATGGGCTGGGTGAGCGAAGCCCGGGTGGAGGTTTGTGGGCAAGGCCACACGGAGGGTCACACGACAGCAGCCTGCCGGGCTGGAGCCAGAGGACAAGGAGAGGTTGGGGACAAGGTCCTGGAGGGCCTGCAGGTCACACACAGGCCTGGGAGAAAAGGGATAGAGGAGGGCTCTGTGTGGGAACAGCCATGGGCTGCAGTCTGAGGGTCATGTGGGCTGCAGGGCAGTAGGGGCCCCCAAGGCCTCCCTAAGGACACTGGGAGGCGCCCCCCGACCGGGTCTCTAGCCTGGAGTCCTGCTTGCCCCCTTTCTGGTCTCCCCACACTTGTTTGCCCATCTGGTTGATTTGTCCACGTTCTCTTTGTAACAGGATAGCAGCATCTCCTCAGTGACGGATTTTCTGTGTCTGTGGCTTGTCTTTTCATTTAAAGATTTTATAAAATACAAGAGTTTAACATTTTAGCATTGCAGTCTTTTTCTTTATGGCTTATGCATTTAGCATCTTAGGAAAAACCTGGCAGTGCCTTTGACATAAAGCCCACGTTGTCTGATAGTAACGCTGGCGTCCCACCAGCATTCTATGGCCCTGATCACCCTGTTCCTCCGTGTTTTAGGTGCTTTTCTCATAACCGTTTGCCTGTTTTAAAATCCATTTACTTTGCTCTGATAGTTGATATATTTGAATGTATTTTTACATTCCAGGTACATACGTCCTTTGAGGTTTTTCTCCTGCCTTGTGTCCCCATGGGATTGCAGCTCTTTTCTCTGTTCCTTGCCCTATTTGTTTGGAAGTTACGATTCTAGTTCTATTCTTCATGTGTATTTAACAAAGTCTAAGTTGGAACTAATCAAGAGCTCTATTCTCCCAGAACAGACAAGGATCTCAGGGCCTTTAGGACATGCTACTGCACTCTGCTCTTTACTCCAAGGTTGGGGGGCTTCTCTAGAAATATCCCTGGGGTTGCTTCTGTCAAAGGGCTTCAGTGAGAGCTGCTAGGCTGAGGAGGGTGTTAGACCCAAGTGAAGTGCAGGCTCCCAGCTCTGAGTTCTTGGGGGGAGAGGGACTTCCCTGACTCAGGGAGCCCAAGACCTGGGAGAAACTGCTTTTGGGGACTTTCTTTTCCTTGGTCCACTCTTGCACTGAGGATGCATCCTTTGAGCATCCTGGCTTCGTGGAAGAGCCCTGACCCCACATATGGGTGTGAAAGCCCATCCTGGGCATCAGCCCCCTCCCCTCCTCACCCATCCCTGCTCTAGGGTAGTTTTCCTTCATGCTTTCCTGAGCTTGCTTGGGCTCAGGAAAAGGGTGATTTACAAGGGTGCTCGCTATTTTCATCCAATGTTTTACAGGAGGCTTTCTGTTATTTGGTCTGCCAAAAAGAGAAGTCAAAAATTTTTTAATCAAGTTTTATTTTTCTAGTTTTAAGGAGAAAAAAAGTCCTTTAACAGCCATCCCAATATTAACCATCCTGGCTGGGGAAGTTATTAGGGAGTCCTACCTCCAAACACAAATGTCAATAGCACAAGGCTCCACCTGGGTATGTTAAATGTTGTTATATTTTGAATTAAGCCCTAAAAGCTTTGATAATTTTGGCAAATTTTATTAATTTCAAAATGCCTTTACAGTTATAGTTTCAAACATAATTTCAACTTTTTGTTTACATTCTTCATTGCTCAATTTAGTAATATATTTTCATAAGTTGCTAGGTACAGATGGGATAACAAAGGGATTGGCCGTCAGTTAGTATGCTGAAGTAGTGCCCCTCATCTGCTGCTCAGCTGATGGCGGACTGTGGGGCGGCTCACACGACTGCATCTTCCTCCCCCACCCTGCTGTGTGCGCACACTTGTGCACCCCACTCCACTTTCCTCCCGGCCGGCTCCCGTTCCTGCCGTGCTCCAGTCCCCTTCCTGTTGGTATGAACTTGGCTGACTTTCAGGAGATGCTTATCCCTACAGTCTGGTCTTTGTAATAGCAAAAGGGTTCCTTTTCAGTGTGAAGGCAAACAGTGCTTCTTACAACAGGCTAACCCTGAAATCCGAGTGGCTTCTCACTCTGGGAGTTCTGACCAGTGGGCCTCTTCTCCACACAGTAACTCAGGGACCGGCTTCCTCCCCTCCCTGCAGCTCTGCCCCGCCACACTCCGCATCCTGGAGCCGTGCCCAGCGTCAGCTGTGGGGTGCTCCACGTGGACTTCTGTCTGTACTCATCAGAAGTGCTGATCGTGAGATGTGCTGGTCCTGAGGGCCTGAGTTCATTTTTGATTCGAGTGTAACAACAGCATCTCACTATGGAGCTGCCCAGCAACATGGGGGGTGTTGGACTGACAGTCAGATGTGCCTGACTACCATCTGTGCCCCGCCTCGTTCATTAAGTTACCGAACGTCTGCCCTATGCCAGTCACTGGTCTGGGAGGAGCTGGGGCTACAGCAAAGGAGACAAAGCCCCTGCCACACTGTAGCAGGAAGGACAGGCGTGAGCTGGTAAAGACAGAACACGGTGGTGGAACCCACGGGGAACACACAACATGAGGTGGAGTGAGGGAGAGGCAGGGTGGCTCCCTCACAGAAGCAGACCGCAGAGGGTTACAGAGGACACACGAGCAAAGAGACCATAGTGAAGGTGGGTCCCGAGAATAGGGCCCAGGAGGAGGTCAGCCTGGGGACACTGAGGGGAGAGGGCAGAAAGGGCTGGAGTAAGAGGGGCTGGGTGAGACGGGGCCCTCCGCACCCCAGCATCACTCCGCTCCATGGAAGCAGTCCTTGGTGCAGGGACCCGTCCTGACAGCCACCCCCCATACCTTGGGAGCGGCCAGGCAGGGATCCCGGCCTGACGGTCGCACATCCCCCCCACAGTGAGAGCGCCCCCGGGCGGGGACCCCATACAGAACCGCCACCCTGTTGGTCCCACAGCTCAGGCCCCGCCCTTCCGGCGGGCGGCGGAAGCGGAAGTGCCCGCGGGCGCTGCTCACTTCCGGTCGGGCTGCGGGCGGCGGCAGTGGGAGGTGAGTGGGTGGTGGCGGCAGTGGCGGTGGGCGGGCTCCGGGGCGGTGGTCGCCAAGGTCCCGGGACGGGAGGGCGGGGCGGGTACGCGCGGCCCCGGGAGGTGGGCGGCACAGCCGGTCGCTCCAGACCGGGCCCGCGCTCCACTGACGCGGCCGGGGCGCTCCGCGGCCGGAAAGGCTGGGCGGGGGCGGGGGCGTTGCCGTCCTCCCGGGGCCCCGTCCTGCCGGCTCGAGGAGGTGAGCGTGGACTCCGAGAGAGCCGCTCGCTGGAGAACTGCGGGGGCAGCGCGCTGGGGCCGGCGCGGGCCCCGAGCGGGCGGCGGGGGGATGCGCGGCTTGTCAGGTCGGCGGCAGTGCCGGTAAGGTGTGGAAGCAAAGGAGAACGGAAGTGTGCAGGTACGGAGTTAGCTGTGGAGCGGACGTCGGCTTGCCCCCCGGTGCTGGGCTTTGCGGCTCTCGCCTTGGGCATCTTGCGCGTTTCTCCGTCCCGCTGAGACTTTGTGCACCGGGTAGTGCCCGCTCGGTCAGGTGGAAGGAGAGACCGTGCCGGCCGCACAGTGCTGTTGCAAAGAGGAGTCAGAAGGCAGGTCCTGTGCGGATAGTAGTTAATTAGTACAGAGCCCTCCGTGGAAATCGTCCGGGGAGTTGAGGGTTTTGCTGTAAGCGTGTGGGGTGGGGGGGCGGGTAAGGAATTAGGGAGAGGACGGATCTTTTTCATCTCGTCAAGAAGTTGTATACAGAAAACATGCATGGCAATAGTGTAATGTCTGAGGTCAGGGGAACACATGTTTATTAAATCCTCTCATTTGCCAGACGCTCCCGGATACCGCTTTGGCGCCAGGACTACGGCATTGGAGCTGGGATGGAAGGTGGGTTTGCTTGAGCAAAGGTGCCTTTTGCCCTCTCATCTTTGTTTATTAGGGTTGTTAAATGTACAAAGTAGAATTTCAGATATTACAGACAGTAATGATTTTTTAAAAATATGTCCCTTTTTTTAAGATTTATTTATTTGAGAGAGCACGTGCATGTGCAAACACCCATGCCAGCGGGGAAGGGGGAGCCAAGGTGGGGGGAGGAAGAGAGAGAATCTCAAACTCAGAGCCCCGAGCCCCGACACAGGGCTTGACCTCACGACCCTGAGATCACGACCTGAGCTGAAGTCAAGAGTCGGGTGCTTAACCGACTGAGCCACCCACATGCCCCAGTAGTGATTTTTTTGAGGGGCATGTGCTGGGACTTGAGCTGGAGGTGGGTGAGGCATGTTGAGGCATATGCTGTCCGGGTGCTTCCGTGTCCTCACTGAGGCCTCCTGGCACAGCTGCCCCACCAGTGTGGCCAAAGGGTGCTATGAAGGTTCCAGAAATTGGCTCTTTCTGTGGGAGAGAAGTACCTTGGAGACTGACATCTGATAGGATGAGGGATCTAAAGTCCACATAGAGACATCCTCCATTTGTTCATAGCTTATACCTGTAAATGCCTCTGCTTTACTTAAAGGTGAAAGTGTCTTCGTATCTGAGTTCTGAAGGCTTATATCTATTATTAAGGAGTTCATAATCCTGGTTCAGCTTTCAGGTTTACTGGATCTCAGGTATTCTCCTTATAGCTCCATTGTGAACAGCTGAGACTGTTACGGGGCATGAGTTTTGTACCTACCTTTTCTACCTTCCTAACACATCTTCCCCTCGTGCTCTCTCTCTCCCTGTTCACACAGGGTACCTCTAGTATGACATGTGCTGAGATTCCACCTGCTTTTTAACGATGAAGGAGACAGACCGGGAGGCTGTAGCAACAGCTGTTCAGAGGGTTGCTGGGATGCTTCAGCGCCCGGACCAGCTGGACAAAGTGGAGCAGTACCGAAGGAGAGAGGCCCGGAAAAAGGCCTCAGTGGAGGCCAGACTGAAGGTATGAGACCAGAGGCCACAGGCATCCACTTTACTCCCAGTCAGGATAGATCCATTTATCTTGAGTTCTGGGTTCCTGCATAATATCATCATTGTAGTTTTGCTAAATTAGATTTTGTGATGGTCTGGAAAGAGGCAGAACAGACCATAACCTTTACTTAACACATTCTTTCCAAAACTGTATTACCAAGCAGTAGATTTATAGAGGAGTTTGTGGGAATATTGGAAACACCAAAGGAACAGTCTTTTAACACCCAGAAGTGTCCTTTTAAATTTTAAACAATACTAGAAGAATAGCAGCCATCCCTATTTGTTAAAAGGTCTTCTACAGAGTGCCACTAGAGAGCATTTGGTTTAGAACTTTTCAGCATACACTGTAACTGGCTGGCTGTGTGCCAGGCTCTCTGCTGGCCCTGGGCAGGAAGGAGCGAGGAGAGTGAGGGACAGTTATTAAGCATGTGAGAGTGGGACAAGAAAGAAAATTATTCTTTTTCAAGGTATTTTGTGATGGGTTTGGCTTTCAACTTAATTTGTATGAAGAGATAAGGTTTTGTTAAAATACAGACGTTCAGTGTACTTACAAAAATGTTAAGACCGTGGCCTGCTGTGATTGACAGGCAGCAGAGCGGTCTTGGGGGTGAAGAGAATGCCCTTGAGGAAGGTTCATTTTCACAGTCATGTGGCACTTGAAAACACTGTTAGCATTGGGATAATGGCAGGCTTAGTAAGACAGGATGAGGATCATTTGTACCAAAATGAAGCATCCAGAGACTGGTTGGCCTATTTAAAACAGTAGTTTTACTTTAATTTAAAAAACAGTTTGGACTTGCCACAATTTTAGTCAGCATTTTAATCTGTTCCAGAAACTTGTGGGATTAGCTGATGATCATCAGTAGTGGCCTAGAGACCTTCTGTGGTCCATTACCATCATTGTTAATAATTTCTGTGTGCAGCTTAAATGGCTCCTCGGTTGGATGTGTACCTGGCTTTGGTTATGCCAACTGGCCTTCCCTTCTTTCCCCTCCACTGGCTGCCCCTCCTTCATGTCCCCTCCCTTTTGGCTGTGTACCACTTGCTGATGGCATTTTGGCATGCCAGTCGAGTGAGTCTGAATCCCAGATGTACCAGCTCTCCACAGCGGGGCCAGCCATCCTTGAGCCAAGTCTGGTCCTGGCTGAGTGGCAGGAGGCCCTCTACCTCAGAGCTGATGAGCAAGTCCTGACAGTCTGAGATGAGGCCTGAGGGAACTGAGGGATGCCTGGGGAGACCATGTGTGGAGTCCTCCTGGGGCAGCCACGGGACCTGAGGCATGCCCATCGTGGTATCCAGTATCTTCAGGCTGAGGGCCCAGATGAGGAGTTTAGGAGGTTTTCTCAACAAAGCTTTAAAAGGCATTGTTCTGTTCTAAGGCAGCAGTGAAAAAAAGGAAAAGCTATTTTGTGAATCAGTTAAGTTCTTGTTGAATTTTATCCTCTTTTCTCTGAGTATTGACTATTCCCAGCTACTGAAATTTGTCTTCTGTGAACTTGAACCTCCCGAGGAAGATTTGTTTGTGGCTGTCCTAGCTCTGTTCACCATCCCCTCGCCCCCGGGTGTCTCCCCTAGGCTGCGATCCAGTCCCAGTTGGACGGTGTGCGCACAGGCCTGAGCCAGCTGCACAATGCACTGAACGATGTCAAAGACATCCAGCGGTCCCTGGCCAACGTCAGCAAAGACTGGAGGCAGAGCATCAACACCATTGAGAGCCTCAAGGATGTGAAGGATGCTGTCGTGCGGCACAGCCAGCTTGCCGCAGCTGTGGAAAACCTCAAGAACATCTTCTCAGGTGGCTGGGGGGGTGGGGAGGACAGCTGGGGATGGCCGGTGCTTTGGGTGTCAGGGGCAAAGTGCCGTCTATTCTCTTTGCTGTGACTCGTTTTTCCTCGCTGTACAGGTGATGAAGAGGTAGATCCAGCTTTTGTGCGGTGTATTTTGTAGACCTCCCTCGGTGTGGACAGTGTTTGATTCCCACCTGTATAGTTAACTTCTTGTTTGCACTAAGGGTGGAAGGGACCAGTTGAACAAGCCAAGACCAGTAAAATGCTTATAGTTCTGTTTGGATAGAGGCACAGCCATGGGTTAACAGAATAAGTGCTTGTGAGCTTCATTCCCTGGGTTGCAGTGTGGCCGTCAGATCAGTAGACCAGATGGAACTCTGACAGGTGAGAAAGAGAGAAGCATCCCCGTGAACAGGACAGGCGGGCAGTTCCCAGCTGGAGAGGTGGTACAGGCGGGCAGTTCCCAGCTGGAGAGGTGGTACAGGCGAGTGGCAGTTCCCAGCTGGAGAGGTGGTACAGGCGGGCCAGTTCCCAGCTGGAGAGGTGGTACAGGCAAGTGGCAGTTCCCAGCTGGAGAGGTGGTACAGGCAAGTGGCAGTTCCCAGCTGGAGAGGTGGTACAGGCAAGTGGCAGTTCCCAGCTGGAGAGGTGGTTCAGGCGGGCAGTTCCCAGCTGGAGAGGTGGTTCAGGCGGGCAGTTCCCAGCTGGAGAGGTGGTTCAGGCGGGCAGTTCCCAGCTGGAGAGGTGGTACAGGCGGGCCAGTTCCCAGCTGGAGAGGTGGTACAGGCGGGCAGTTCCCAGCTGGAGAGGTGGTACAGGTGGGCAGTTCCCAGCTGGAGAGGTGGTACAGGCGAGTGGCAGTTCCCAGCTGGAGAGGTGGTACAGGCGGGCAGTTCCCAGCTGGAGAAGAGTGTGCACAGGCTGGGGGCAGGGGGTAGGGCACAGGAGGGAACCACTCTGCAGCCTTGGTCAGCGTTGGGCGGGATCTGGTGGAGGCCTTGCGGCTGGGTGGGGTAGGGTGGGGACAGGAGGTGTGGACGTGGCCCTTTCAGAGCCATGTCCTAATACCTCACCAGTGAGAGGCTCGGCAGCCTATCCGGGAACAGTGTCATTTGTCATGTGGGTGGGGCTCCGTGTCTGCCCAGCACAGTCCAGAGATTGTCTCACCCCTCACCCCCTCACCTCTAGCAGGGTCACCAGCATCCCAGCAAGAGACCTTGGGATGGTCTGACCCCTTCCCTTCCTTTATCCTGTGTCTGGTCTCAGTGAACTCTTTCTGTCCTTCCCTAAACTCTGCTCAACCCTTGAGCGTAATGTGCCACAGTTCTTCACACCACTATAAAGCCACATCATGGTGGCCCTGCTCCAGCCGCATTGTACCTTGGTAATTTGTGTCCTATTCAGCTCCTTTTCCTTGGACTCCTCTCACACTCGTGTCTGACGGCAGTGTTGTTGAGTACCTGGCCCCCTTGCTCATCTTCCCAGGGTCTGATACTTAGGGCCATGTTCCAAGTTGCTTCTCACATTGCCGCCCCCCCCCCCCCAATGAATGGCACAGCATTGCCGACTCCACAGTGGGTGCTAAGGAAGCAGCTCGTCTTGGTGACTGTTGGTTGCCTGGAATTGGAACGTCGTCCCCAAGCCTGAATGTCCTTCATGACACTGAGCCAGCACTTTGCTAGTTAATTCCCGCCCCCCCTTATGATTTCCTGTTGACTGGCAACATTTCCTTCCAGTCTTGTAAAGCTAATGTCAAATGATCAAAAGTTACTTTACTGGAAGAAGTTCATCCACAGGAGTTGAAAATAATTTTCTTACCTTGAAGAACGAATGAAGCTATGTTATATACGCATTTGTGTTAGGAGTAGACTTTATTGAGAAGATATTGTGCTGGTTTGACCCTCTTTAGACTTTTCTCAGTGCCTGTAATTTGGTAGTACTGTGCACACAGCCTTTTTCCCCCCACTTTGTTTTAACATGAGATACATTTAATATAAAATTTACCATCTTGATTGTTTTTGAGTGTACAGTTCTTTGGTGTTATGTACTTTCATGTTGTGCAGCTGTCACCACCATCCACCCCAACTCTTTCATCTTGTAAAACAAACTACAGTGCTGTGTGTCAGTGACATGATAGTAAAACTAAAAGAAGAAGACCAAACTTTGCACCCATTAAATGATAGCTCCCCATTTCCCCTCCCCTTACTAGTTGTGGGTCTATCTAGATTTTCTGTTTCTTCATGAGTTAGTCTCTGTAGGTTTTTTCCACTATGTTTAGTGCAAAAATAGGTTGGTGTACAATTGTTCATAGTACTCTCGTGATCCTTTCTATTTCTGTAGAATCAGCAGTAATGTCCCTACTTTCATTTCCGATTGTAGTATTTGAGTCTTTTCCCTCTCTCTCTCTTTTTTTTTTAAGTTCATTAGCTAAAGATTTGTCAATCGTTGATCTTTTCAAAGAACCACCTTTTGGTTTTGTCAATTTTCTCTGTTGTTTTCCACTTTTCAATTGTGTTTCTTTCTGCTTTTCTCTTTATTATTTCCTTCCTGCTGGTAGCTTTGGGTTTAGCTTGTTCTTTTTCTGCTTCCCTAAATTATAAAGTCAGGTTGTTGATTTGATAGTTTTCTTTTTTTTTTTTACACAAGCAGTGACAGGTATACACTTGTCCTTAAACATTTGCTCTCTTGGATCCTTAAGTTCTGGTGCAGTGTGTTCTTACTTTTGTTTAAGTATTTTCTAATTTCTCTTGTGAGTTCTTCTTTGACCCAGTGATTGAGTGTGTTAATTTCCACTAATTGTGAATTGTTCATCTGTTACAGATTTCTAACTTCATCCCATCCTGGTTGGAGAAGATACTTTGTATAATATCTACCTTTTCAAATCTGTTGAGATTTAATTTGTGGTCTAACATAAGGTCTATCCTGGAAAATGTGCTCTTGGGAAGAACTGTGTGTGGCTGCTGGGTGGAGTGTTCTGTGTGTGTCTGTTAGATGTAGTTGGTTGATTGTGTTGTTTAGGTCCTCTGCATCCTTCCTTATCTCCTGACTGGTTGTCCTGTCCACTACTGTGAGTGACATCGAAGTCTCCCAGTTATTACTAGAGAACTGTCTGTTTTCCAGTTTTATGAATTTCTGCTTTGTATATTTTTATGGTCTCTCATTAGGTGTGTAATTGTTTATAATTGTATCTTCTTGATGTAGAGAGCTTTTTATTAACATATAATGCGCCTTCTTTGTCTCTTGCAAACTTGATTTCAAGTCGATTTTGTCTGGTATTAGTGGGGCCACCTGCTCTATTTGGGTCACTGTTTGCATGGAATGTCTTCTCCCACCCTTTCATCTCAACCTGTCTGTGTCTTTGGATCACAAGGGGGTCTCTTATAGATAGCATATGGCTGGATCTTGTGTTTTTATCCTTTCTACCAGTCTCTGTCTTTTAATTAGAGAATTTAATCCACTCACATTTAAAGCAGTTACTGAAAATTTGTGACTTATTTCTGTCATTTTGCTATTTGATTTCTGTGTGCTTTACAGCCTTTTTGTCCCTCATTTCCTGCATTCCTGTCTTCTTTGTGTTTAGTTGATTTTTTTGTGGTGAAATGTTTTAATTCTTTTCTCATTTCCTTTTTTATGTATTTGAAAGCTATTTTCTTTGTAGTTACTGTGGGGATTACATTTAACATCTAAAATTAAAGTACTCTGAATTTATACCAGTTTAACTTCAGTAACAGACAAAAACTCTGCTCTTGCACAATGCTGTCTCACCCCCTTTCAGTTCTTGGTGTCACAAAATTACATCTTTATACATTTTCCAAAAACATAGACTAATTGTTTTTTATGCATTAGTTTCTCAAATTATGTGGAAAACACAATGTGGAATTATAAACCAGTTACAGTAATACTAGACAAATAATTTTTTTCCCTAAATATATTAGTCTTTTAAATTATGTAGAACAAAAAGTAAAGTGACAAACCGAAGTTACCCTAACACTAGCTTTTACAGCTACCCACGTATCTACCTTTATTGCCATCCTTATTCCTCCACCACTCTCTGCGCTACCATCCAGCGCCCTTTCATCTCACCCGCGGGACGCGCTGGGGCAGCTCTCCAGGCCGAGGAGTGCTCAGCTTGTGCTTGTCTGGGAGTATCTTTATGTCTCCTTCACTTTTGAAGGACAGTTTTGCCAGATGTAGGACTCTGGGTGACTGTTGTTTTCTTTTAGACTTCGACTATCGCAGCCAACTGCCCTTGGGCCTCCAAAGTTTCTGATGAAAAATCTGCTTGTGGTCTTACTGAGGCTCCCTCGTAGGCAACCAGCTGCTTCCCCTCACTGCTTTCCAGGTTCTCTGTCTTTGATTTTCAACAATTTGTAATGTGTCTCATTCTGGGTCTCTGAGTTCTTCCTACTTGGAGTTTATTGAGCCTTTAGATGTTTATATTCCATCAAGTTAAGTAAGTTTGATCATTATTCAGATAATTTCTTTGTCTCCTTTCCTCTCTTTTTATCTTCTGGAATGTCCACAGTGTGCATGTTGGTCCACTTGACATTTTAAAACTTTTAAAACTTGTTTTAAAGTCTTCAATAGAGGGGCGCCTGTTAAGCGTCTGCCTTTGGTTCAGGTCATGACCCCAGGGTCTTGGGATCGAGTCCTGTGTCGGGCTCCTTGCTCATCGAGGAGCCTGCTTCTCCCTCTGCCACTCCCCCTGCTTGTGCCCGCTCACTCTTGCTCTCTGACAAATAAGTAAATAAAGTCTTTTAAAAAAAATAAAATCTTCATCCAGTAGATCAACAACCTAGTGTTTCTTAGGGATGGTTTCTGTTGGGTTATCTTTTCCCTTTGAATCTCCATACTTTCCTGAATCTTTTTATGTCTTGTGATTTTTTTTTGTTGTTGAACGTTGGACATTTGAATCTAACAACATAGTAACTCTGAAAATCAGATTCTCCTCTTCTGCCAGGTATGCTGATTTTTGTTTATTGTTCTTGTTTTGGTTATTGTAGGCTGTCTCTGTGCTAAGGATCAGACTGAGATGTAAACTGAAGATGTTCTCAGGTCTTTTCTGAGCCTGACCTTTCCCTGAGCATGTGCAGGCGCTTTTTAATTCCCCCATATATGAGGTTGCTTTTGAATGTCATTGTCTTTAATGTCTGGCGGGGGAAGGAATAAAAATGGAGGGGGTAAAGAGGCACTGGCTCTTTAAATCATCCTGAAGTCACCTGGCTCTAGGGTGAGGGGTTTGCAACAATGGTGGCCTGAGAGCAGTAACAATGGGTTCCACCACTGTGTCTGCATCTCCCTGATAGGAGGCAGCAACCAGCAGTTGGAGCACAGATCCCCAGTGTTTGGAGGACATGGTCCTTTTTGCTCACCCAGGTTCCCTCAAGCTGTGTGTAGGCTGCTTCGGGAATGCATGGCGGGCAGGCCAGGCTGGGGCTGGTGCCGGGAAGGTGCTCCTGTGCTAAGAGCTGGAATTGACCAGAATTAACCACCATTTACTCCCAAGCCATCTCCTAGAATTTGCCAGCCTTCTGCAGACTCCACAGTTCCAAAATAGTTATTCAGACAGATTCTGCCAGTGCGGTTGCTGTCTGGGTGCGGAGACAGATTCCTGGTGCTCTCTGCCATCTTCCCAGGGTCCTACCCAGCCGTTTCTGTGGTTTTTCACGGTGCCATCTTGTGCCTTTTTCCCTAGTGCCCGAAATTGTGAGGGAGACCCAGGACCTCATAGAACAAGGGGCGCTCCTACAGGCCCACCGAAAGCTGATGGACCTGGAGTGCTCCCGGGACGGGCTGATGTATGAGCAGTACCGCATGGACAGTGGAAACACTCGAGACATGACCCTCATCCACAGCTACTTTGGGAGCACGCAGGGGCTCTCGGACGAGCTGGCCAAGCAGCTGTGGATGGTGCTGCAGAGGTCACTGGTCACTGTTCGCCGTGACCCCACCTTGCTGGTCTCAGTTGTTAGAATTATCGAAAGGGAAGAAAAAATCGATAGGCGCATACTTGACCGAAAAAAACAAACTAGTTTTGTTCCTCCTGGGAGGCCCAAGAATTGGAAGGAGAAAATGTTTGCCATCTTGGACAGAACCGTGACGACTAGAATTGAGGGCACACAGGCAGACACCAGGGAGTCCGACAAGATGTGGCTCGTCCGCCACCTGGAAATCATAAGGAAGTACGTCCTAGATGACCTCATCGTTGCCAAAAACCTGATGGTTCAGTGTTTCCCTCCCCATTATGAGATCTTCAGAAACCTCCTGAGCATGTACCACCAGGCCCTGAGCACGCGGATGCAGGAGCTTGCGTCCGAAGACCTAGAAGCCAATGAGATCGTGAGCCTGTTGACATGGGTCTTAAATACCTACACAAGGTAACTCCAAAGTTACTCTTGTATTTTATTTTATGTAGAGTTGAGTTGTTTTGCTCCAGCATGTGCTCAGCACCCTCAGACTTTGTTTTCCTGCTGATGAAAGCCTCCCCTCTGGCCCATGTGTGGGCTTAACCTTGAGATCAGGGCCCGGCCTCTGGTTGTGTGAATGCTCTTGTGTTTGGGTGGTGCTCCTGCCCTTGATGTCCAGTCCCTAGGAAGCAGTTCAGCATTGGGCTCTTCCATGATACTGAGTGCCCACTGTGCACTAACCCATTTCCTCCTTGCGGTGACACCCTGAGTGTGTGGTTTTACCCTGGGGGACGGGTAAGGACACATGGGCGCAGGATTTCCCGGGACCTGCACGGAGTCACAGGGGCCACCAGCTCACTCCTCCTGGCTTCCAGCCCCACCCCCCTCACCCCCCCCGTTTGGTTTCTTCTCACCAGTATCCTGGAAAAATCCATTCTTTTTACATTTCAGCCTTGAGGTTTTGTCACTTCACAAAAGGGATGTGAGCCATTTTGTGCTTGTATTCGTTTGACGTAGGGTTTGAAAATTGAGGCAATGGCGGGGTATTCTGACATTCTTTAAGGTTAGCTAGCTGAGAAGATGCATTTTGATTTTGCAGGGTTTTGTGAATAGAGAACAGTATAAAGTACTGTACTGGAATTATTTTTAGCCTGTCTTGTTGCTTGTGTGCAGAAATTTGTTAAATCTCTTGCTTTAGCAATAAGGTTTTGGATTTTTGTTTGTATTTTGGTAACTGGTTATAGTAGAGAATATGTACATCTTAACATAAAATGGGAGAAACTCTCTCACCCACGATAGTGATGGTCACTCTGTCTGGTGTGTCTGCAGCTTCACTCTGCCAGGCCTGGGTCCTGCCCCCTGAGCACTGCCCTCACCCAGCCCATAAGCCGGGAGTGATCACCATCTCCCCATCCTGTGGCCTTCTCTGTATAGGGCTCGATTTCATGTTACCCCATGAGGAAAGCACTGTTAGGGTCATATTTGTTTGTGTCAGAAAACTGAGGCACAGGGAGTCACGTGCCCAGCATTTACATGGACAGCGAGTAGAGAGCAGGAGTAGAATCGGCCCTGGGCCCTTGTTCCTGCTCTAGCCACCAGACCAGGTGTGCATTTGTTGGTGTGCACAGTTTTGTGTCTTGGTTTTGTGTCTTTTTGTGTGTGTGGACAGCTGCATACTGGCCACCTTTTTAGCATTTGGACTTTCTAGTGGGAAAATTGGATTGCTTTATACTAGAAACATTTCACACTGAATTAAGGTTCTTTGGTGAAAATCTGTGTTGAGTGAATAGTCTTTTAATACTTGCAGAATTTTGTGACGTGCCTTTTCACTGAGGAAGACCTTGTATTTCTTATAGATAATGGACTAGCTGTGAGTACTCAGTGTTTTCCTCGTAAAAACGTATTTAGGGAATATGGCAAAAAGCATGTGTATTTTTTCTGGACTTTTAAAAACCCAACCACACAAAGATACTAACTTTTTTATGGAAACTTTTTTCTGAAATTCAGCCCACATCCCTGCCTTCTTAAAGCACACTTGTCCGAATGCATTGATACTTTTGCTGACTTATGTTTCATCATGAAGTGCAGGGATCAGCAACGTTAACTTCAGCGCTTATGTTTCTGAATTACTGTACTTGTTTGTCATTCCCTTGTTCGATAGGACCTGTCTACTCAGCACCTCCAGTTTGCCAGGCCCTGGCCTTCCCCAGGGGGACGTGCTGGGCATAGACCAAACATATCTCCCCCATCACGGGGTTTCTTTTCTGAGTGATGTGGGTGCAGCGGCCTGAGGCCAGGGACAGAGGTGCCTTATGTGGCCACTTCTCACCCAGTGCTCTCCCCAGGGCCCCGCCTCTCCTCCCTGACACAGTCTTGAGGGTGGTTGGGTATTTGTGTGTCAAAAGAAATAGCAACACTTAGCTGAGCGTTTTCTGTCTTCCTGGTAATTATTCTTTCTCATACCTGGTTTTGCCATAGTGCAGAGATGATGGGGAACATGGAGCTGGCCCCAGAAGTGGATGTCAGCATCCTGGAGCCTTTGCTTTCTCCAGACGTGGTCTCTGAGCTGCTTGACACGTACATGTCAACTCTCACTGTGAGTAGAGCAATGTGTGGTCCTAAACCAGGCTGTGTTGGCTCCCTAAGTCATGCCGTAACCGAGGCCAGTGGGCAAAAGAAGGCGGGGGAGAAACCGGTTTTGATGATGGCTTCCTAAGGATGTGTGGGCTCTGCTTCTGGGAAATTGGCTCTTGAAATATGCGTTGGCCAGTTAGATGAGGAAGGTGGCTCATTCTCTGGCCCTGGATCTGGAGGTTGAAACGTGTGTTCTGCAGGTACAGAAACCTCCTCTGGCTGGACTAGTGAGCCTGTCTAGCCCCTGGTAGCCAGATGGGCAGTGGTGCCTGCCAGCCTCTTAGAGCTGAGCACAGGAGTGGGAGGGTGGCATTTGGGGACCAAGTGCCCACCCCCCACCCCCCATGACCCCCAGGTGGTCTGCAAGTAACATGAGGAGGTCAGGGTCTGCTTCCTTGGACAAGGTGAGCACAAGCAGCAGACAGCATTCTGACTGAGATGCTGAGCCCCCACACTGGGAAGCAGGGAGGGGTCTGTGCTCCCGAGGTGATGGTGCTGGTGTGTGGTCTTCCACGGACAAGCCTGCTGGGAGCATGTCCACCTCGTGCCTCCGTGTATGGCTGACCAGCCTGGCCTCTCCTGCAGTGTGGTGCTCATCCAAAAGGTGGTCAGTGGAGGCAGCACCTGCCATGGAGGCGGCTTGTGGGGTGGCTTCTCTGGCATCCCCTTGTTTGGGAATAGCGACTCCCGGGGCCCTGAGTTTGGTTTCTGCCGCTGCACTGCTGAGGAGAGGCCATGTGCATTGCCTCAGAGTGGCCTGTTCTATTCTTCCTTTTTCTGTGATGCCAAACTTTTTTAGTCAAACATCATTGCCTGGCTGCGGAAAGCACTAGAAACAGACAAGAAAGACTGGATCAAAGAGACAGAGCCTGAAGCCGACCAGGATGGGTTCTTCCAGACGACCCTCCCTGCCATTGTCTTCCAGGTACCATCGTGTGCTTCTGGGGTGCATTGCTGGATCATTCCTGGGATCTGTGGGTTTGACAAATGAACAAAAGTGTCTCCCTTCCTAAAGACAGAGGGAGACCTTTCCGGTGCCTCAGGTCTCTCTTTCTGTCTGGAGCAGAAGATACCAAGGGTCGCCTGTCCAAGCAGTTTTGCCCAGAGTTACTCTAGTTTCCCTTAAGTGTTTGGATTTGAAGTAGAACCGAATTACATATTATTTGCATGGGACACTCAGATTTGAGTTTGCTTGTTTGGTGTTTTCTGATGTTGGAAATGGCTAAGATTTGTCTTCTAAAATACCACCTGACTGAGTATAACCTGATGGATTTGGGGAAGAGTCCTTTATATTTTAACCATAATTGTGCCTTCTTATGGTTCATTTACTTTTTTTTTTTTTAAAGATTTTATTTATTTATTTGACAGAGAATCAGCGAGAGCAGGAACACAAGCAGGGGGAGTGGGAGAGGGAGAAGCAGGCTTCCCGCCGAGCAGGGAGCCCAATGTGGGGCTCGATCTCTGGACCGTGGGATCATGACCTGAGCCGAAGGCAGACGCTTAACGGCTGAGCCACCCAGGCGCCCCGGTTCATTTACTTTTTGATGCCCAGCTCCTGCTGATGTCCTCCAGCTTCCTTACTGTCCTTTTCTTCTGGCCTGTTGGCTTTTCTTCCTGGAGGAAGGTTTTCTGGCAGGAGGAGGGCTGAGTCATGGTCTAATCCTTGTATGAGACCACATCACTGGCGTGTGCTTGGGACACCAGCCGGGCACAAGTGAGCACTGTGGGCATCTGTGTCTGCGTGACACCATGAGCTGTAGAGGGGGCCTCACCCTTTCCTTTATTTTGGAAACTGGTGTCGTGACAGACTGCATGTACCACAGGCCTGGGGTGAGCTTGGCCTTCCAGCCCTTCTCCACCTCTCCATGTGTAGCTCCCCTGAGCTCCAGTGTGTATCTTCCCAATTCTTCATGAGGAATCCACATCACAAATCACAGCCCAGCCCCTGGTACCCCTGTGACCCCAGCCGCACCCGACCTCTCTGGGCCCCCCATCTCCCTGTCAGCTCGCTGAGAATACACATTTCCCTCTTTGTGGAGACCACCCTGTTTGCAGGTAATTAGGAAGCGATTCACTTGTTTCTTTTCATCTGTTGAGAAAGTTGTTCATTTAACTGACTTGTTACATTTTGAGTGGTTTCTTTCCTTTTTTTTTTTTTCTGAATTCGGACTATAACTACCAGTTGGCAGATAGGGGTTTTAATGGGAAACTTGCACCCTTGTGAGTTCATATTAGAATTCATAAATTCTCCAATTTTTAGATGTTCGAACAGAATCTTCAGGTTGCTGCTCAGATAAGTGAAGATTTGAAAACAAAGGTACTTGTTTTGTGTCTTCAGCAAATGAACTCTTTCCTGAGTAGGTATGTATTTTTGCCAGGGCGCTCATTTAGAAAGTGTATGTTTTTAAAACTTAAAAGCAAAACTTTGATCCTAATATGCCTGATATTAAAAAATACTTTAAGCCTGAATTTGTTGTTGTGATCTTTGTTATTTTGAAACAAGCCTTTGGAATGGATTACACTGGTTTCCTGAGAGCCCAGATGGGCCTGCTGGGCCGGAGTTAGATTCTCCTCCAGACACTTCCTTTCTGTTGTCTGCGCTGCCCAGGGCCTGGGAGGGGCTCCATCAGGTGGTGGCTCCCCGTTCCCGTTGATGGGAGTCGGCCGTCCGACGAGGCTGGGGAGTATGTCTGCTGGATGCCTCCCTCCCTTTGACTTGTTCGGGAAGATTTTCAAATCTATACAGAAGCAGAAAGAATGGTGTAAAAAAAACTTGACCCATCGTCCACCTTCAAAAGCTGTCCCTTTAAAGCCCCCCCTCACCTCATCTGCACACCTCCCCCCGCCACCAAGTACTTTAAAGCAGATCCCAGACATTCTGGCATTTCATTCCCTGTGTCCTTACTCTGGCTGTAGGGCTGTCTGACACCAAGTTTGTATTTGGGTTTCCCCAGTGGTTTCAGACATGCCTTCTACTTGTGTGTTGAGACTGGGCTAGCAGCAGGTCTGGGCTCCCAGGTCTCGGGTGCAGTAGTGTGGCCTTTCTCCTCTTTGAGCCACTGGCTTGTGGACACGTGCAGATTATGTCATAGTGCCCAGCACCTTCTTGTCTAGCCCTAACTGCTGTCCCCCTTTGAGCCACATGTTGGCTCTAAAGGCTTGTGAGATTCCTCTTTATTTTCTTGCTGTTTTGCAAGAACCCGGCGTAAGCAGAGTGCTCCACATGGCAGCGCATCACGAGATGCATGTTCCTCTGTCCTGCCCTGGTGGCTGAGAGTCCCCGCCAGTCATGCCCCTGGGGATCATGGCCTTAGTCATTTTGTTGGCAGAAAGAGGAAATTTTCCTCATCAGCCCCAGAAGTTTGATTACCTGAACCACACGTTGGACAGAAAGGTGGAATAAGTGCATAATTATTTCCCTTTAATTGCCAACTTGGCTCCTTTCGTAAGGTCTTTTAAACATAGGTATAGTGTGTTGTAGTGTTCTGCTCTTGTTTGTGAGTCTCTAATAAATTCAAAAATAAAGTATGTAGTGATCTCAGTTGCTTGTTTTCTTGACCTCAGATGAGCAAGTTATTTATTTTTGAGTAATTTCTTAATTTGATTTCTTCAGGGAAAGTTTCAGAAAATGACATATTTTATCTGATATTTCATAATGTTCCAACACTATTGTATGAATTTCTAGGCAAATTATATGTCAGATAAAATAATAATTTTCCACCTACAAATATTTCAAAATATTTTTATACTCAGAATACTGAATCATATTTCAAAGCCTGATACAAAATTTATTTTCAATAATCCATATAAAATCAGCTTCCCTGATTTTTCATTAGTATAGATCATCCACAATTTTATTTTATTTTTAAAGGTTTACCTGGTCAGATGTTAACAATGCCAAATGTATTTATCAGGTGTGATTTGTTTGTGGTGTTTGGCACACCCTCAGGCTCCCCCTTATTGATAGTTTTGCTGGGGGGCTGTGTGTCCTCAGATACAAAGAGGAAGCTCAGTTGTATAAAGAAGAGCACCTGAGGAATCGGCAGCACCCCCACTGCTATGTCCAGTATATGATCGCCATCATCAACAACTGCCAGACCTTCAAGTAAGTGACCGTCATGGACAGGGTGACCCAGGAACAAAAGAGCAGAAGGTAAGGAAGGATACTCAGCTGCTTTATGGGGCCTTAACTGTTTCCTTACAGAGAATCCATAGTCAGTTTAAAAAGGAAGTATTTGAAAAATGAAATGGAAGAAGGCATGTCTCTGAGCCAGCCAAGCATGGATGGGATTCTGGACACCATTGCAAAGGAGGGCTGCAGCAGCCTGCTGGAGGAGGTCTTCCTGGACCTGGAGGTGGGAGCCGGTTCTTTGCTGCTTTGTTTCCAGGCTGACAATAGTGTTTCCATCCAGTGTGTATGTGGGTCTGCAGTGTACCCTGTGACTGCATACCCGAGCAGAGCTGACACTTCAGTTCACCTCTCACTGTGAAGGGGCCTTTGCTTTTCTGTGAGGTGTGCCTTATATGATACAGGCCCAGATTGGAGTCCTCTGATGTACAAATGAACAGACTCCCATGAAATATTAAAGAGATTAATCAGCTTGGCGAATTACAAAATGGAAACAAGTACATAGAAGGAAGATGGACTGTGTTCATTAGCAAATTCTTGATACCAGAACCAAATTGAGAACTCGTGCATGTGTGCAACACACATCACATGGACCCTTTGAATAAATATACAAAACAAAGTCATTAACAAAATGCATTTAGCATCATATCAAAGGCATAATACACCAAGAACAAGTAGGGTTTATTTCAAAAATACAAAGATGGTTTAGCATTATATAGATGTATAGGCAGAAACCAGAATATATTAAAAAAATAAAATTGTGATCATCTTGGGTCCTCCTTGGAAGGAAGTAGCTGGAGAGGAGCTTCTGGGATGATTGGTGGGATCATTTTGTGATGTCTGCAACTTTCTCGAAAATGGTTTAGAAAACAGATGAAATGGATACATTTGAAATTATTTCAAAATAAAAAAGCTATAACAAAATTAGATAAAGGACATGAGTAAGCCCTTTCACAGAAAAGGGATTACAAATGTTCTAAATGTAAAAACAAAATGCCTGGTCTTCCTGATCTTCAGAGATGCGCAGACTCAAACCGAGTATTCTCTGTTGCTTCACGGGATGGCAAGTGGTGTTGCAGGCATGGGAAAGGGGATGCTCTCGTGTGTTCTCTGTAGAACCAGTGCTGTAGTTTTTGGAGGGCAGTGTGGAAAGTTTCCGGGGTTTCAGTTTGCACACTTGTGGGCTGAGCAGTTCTACTTTTGGGCTTTCACCTGCAGAAGTGCACAGGTTCACTGCACTGTTCTTTATAATTGCAAAATGGGAGCAGTTTTAAATGTCCATCAGGATTGGGTAAATGCAGAATATCCATATGATATATGTAAACAATAAAGGCGGTGTGTGTACGGACAGATCCACAGTCACCGAAGTCATGTGTAATGAGCGTCTCACAGAGTTACGGTATGTGTTGGCGGACTGCATGCCAGTGGGGTTGTTATGTGTGTATTGCTGTCGCAAAATATCACTGAGGCTCTGCAGCACCTTCCTCCTGATACACGTGACTCAGGGACTGTGTCCAGGTGACGTTTTCTGTGTTCTTTTCAGCAACATCTCAGTGAGCTGATGACAAGGAAGTGGCTGTTAGGATCCAATGCTGTGGACATTATTTGTGTTACCGTGGAAGACTATTTCAATGATTTTGCCAAAATTAAAAAGCCGTATAAAAAGGTAAGAGTGTGGACACAGTGACTTGGTGTGAGCTCACCTGCAAGCTGGAGCCCACCTGCCGTCTTGTGTGGAACTCAGTGTCCAGTTGGTTCTTCTGTGAATGGACATTCGCAGGCAGTTTTATTGAAGGCAGGCAGGAGACATCAGTGTCTGGAGATAAGCCAGTGGGAGGTGATGGCGCTTCTGATCCTTTAACCTTATTGCCTCCTGACTCCCCACCAAGCCCTCTTTGACACGTGGCCACAGACGCAGGCCGCGCTCGTGATAGGGACCTCCTCAGCGGCCCCGGAATCCCCTAGAAGGGAGGGTGGGGGCAGCGGCTGTGGGTCAGTTTCCTCTCTGCGATCCCTGTCCAGGGCACAGGCAGGCTCCTGGCCTTTCTCTGCTCCCGCAGAGGCCCCGGGGCTCTTCTCTGTGTGGCCGGGCTCTGGGGGACTCAGGAGCCCTGCCACAGACGCACGGAGCCCCTGTGCGCCTCGGGCCTCAGCCGCATGCATGCCCTTGGGGCTTCCCTGAAGTAGCCTATTTCCTCCTGCAGTGCCTGGGCCCCTCTCATGGATTCTCAGGGCCTTAGGCAGTGTTTGATACATTTTAAAAAGTCAGGCTTTCCAAGTGTTTTTTCCTGGCTTATACGAAGTGGTTTTGATATGGTTTTGATATACTGACGTCATGTTCAGAGATTTTGTAAAACTTTCTGATTGTTTCTGGGATTTGTCTTGGGACCCTTTTAGATGTCTGTGTAGACAGTTGTGTCGTGTGAACAGTGACACTGTTTTCATTCTGGTCCTCACACCTTTCATGTCTTCTTGTCCTGTGATGACTGGGACCCAGTAGAACCCTTGTCGAAGTCCTCATTTTAAAGGAAATTCTTGTGACTCTGCCAGTAAGAGTGCTACCTGTGGGGAGACCCAGGGATTGGAACCCCGACTGACAGCTTCCCTCACCTGTGTTGTCGGGGGCGGCTGGCCCGCAGTCCTGTGCTGCTCCCTCGGCTGTTGGTGCCACCGTTTATTTCCTTAAACATTGGCTGGGTCGGTTCAGTAGTTGGTGCCTGAGGAGCCCGTGCATGCGTGCAGCCCTCCCTGTGGGGGCTTGTCTGGAGGGCTCATCTGCTGGTGCGATTGGGCACGAGTTTCCCTTCCCCACTTACTTGAAAGAAACCTAGTGAATACTGTTGTGAACCCGCACGTGTGCTCCTTCAGGTTCTGCCATTTGTTGACAGGCAGGAGGGCGTGTGCCCTGCACAGCTGCCTGGCCAGCCTGGGTCTCAGCAGGTGCCTGGGGTGTGGGTCTCAGCAGGGGATGGGGGGGTGTCTCAGTGGGGAGCCTAGGGGTTCTCAGCGGGGGACAGGGGGTGTCTCAGTGGGGAGCCTAGGGGTTCTCAGCGGGGG